CAAGTCCCTAGTGTGTTAGAGTTCCCAAGGGCTTCAAGAACCCAGGGCAGTGCTCACACTAGGGAAGGTCACAGAGATCATTCAGAGGAAGGACTAGAGACCAAGTTTTAGTGTGTCAGAGTTCACAAGGGCCTCACATGGACCCCGAGCAGTGCTCACACTAGAGAGAGGTCAAAGGACAGAACTAGAATAGCCTTGGCTTTCAGCCAGCTAAGAAGAGAACTTAAGCAAGAGGTGAAAGAGAAAAGACTAAAGTTGAGAGACAAGAGTTGAGGGGTTTAAACAAACACAACCAAGTTGAACATATTAGGCAAACAATTGACCAAATCACAGAATTTAAAAGCAAGCTTAATGTAAACTTAGGGAAACAGATTCAATACTTAGCACATAAAGAGTCACATGCTGATAAGAAAATGTTTGCAGGATTGATTGGGGTTATTATCACTAGACAGGTTGAAACATGATTGGGAATTATGCTAAGTATGCAGGCAACATTGTGCTAAACCACATAATCAGAGAAAGGGGAGGGCCCCATGTTAGCAATGGGGCAAGATCACAAACACATATGCCAAAACATGTTACAAAGATTCTGGATAGCATGAAAGGCACACAAATAGTAGATAAGCATCCAAGCATTGTTATAGAGGTCTAATTAACAGAATATGATTCAACTTGTGCCAAAAGTTTAACCTAACACCTTAAAGCAACAATTCAAAGCATGATGAGATCACAAACAGATACTAAAGGGATATGGGAGCAAATAAGCATGCTGAGGGACATGATGACCAACACTGAAAGTCTCAACACAGACTACTGCAGGGATTCAGGGGGGGGGGGTAGGGGAAGGGAATGAATAAACACGTTCATATGCGTTCAAGAGTCAATACACTAATTGAATAGGCCCTAAAGAAGCTCAGCTTTCCCAATTAGGCACCGATAATCTTAGAACTAGTAGCATTAAGAGTGAGTAGATGCAAGAGTTAGCAGAATGATGCTTAAAAGTAAACCAGGAACATGTTAAGCAAGAGATTCAAAGATGAGAACACATAAGGATGAAATTGCGAGAGTTAAATAACTCACTAGTTAAACGAGAAATGCAAGAAAAGAACAAAAAAAACCACAATGTTCTGAATCGACAATGAGAAGAAAAACCTCAGAAACTTAATGGCCTTGGCTTTTAGCCGGCCAAGACCACAATATAGAATGAGAAATAACAGAGTAAAGTGTAGATCTAGTGGGGTTATAATGATTTCCCCGTCTGTCCTAAAAGGGAAATGGGGAGGGGTTTATATAGTGTAGAAATCGAGCAAGTAAACATGGCAAAGAAGTCGTTCAAACACAAATAAGGGAAAAATTATTCAGGAATCAATTAGGATCGAATTTAGGGCACAAATCAAAGGGGTTCAATAAATCAACAGAGAAATCACCAAATAGTACCAAAATCGTTATTTAAGGCAAAGAATAAGTAGAAAAAAGGAAAACCTAAAGAAAAGAGTAGTCAAACACAGAAAAGGAAAAGAATTGAAACCAGTAAGGAGGAGAGGAAATTCCAGAACCCTAATTTTAGGCATAGTACACAAATTGACGGAAATAAAAAATAAAAATCACATGCTGCATAGAATGAGATGAACATAGACAGAAATCTATTCAAAATCAAAAAATCGAGTCAGATTTGGTATGATGTTAAAAGGATCTGAAACCTTAAATTAGGGTAAGTAGAAAATCTTAAAGATACACACAGATTCATAGCAATTTATACCATAAAAGAACGAGAATGAACACAGATGGAAATGGTCAAAAAGCTGAACCAAATTTGATTTGATTTCTAAGAGATTTGCTTGCCATATTTAGACAAGCAAACTAGGTAATGCCAAAGACGAACCAGTAGTGAGGGGAGGTAAAATAAGGTATGGGAATCCATGGTGGATTCCCATTTGGGGTTGGATTTGGGAGGGTTTGATAGGAACGACGGCTAGGGTTCATGAGAGATGAGAGACGAGAGTGTTCTGTGGCGGCGGGGGTGTAAAATGATTAGGGTTGGGGGTTTGGTTGGGTTAAAAGAAGCAGATGTAACGTGGATGTTGATCTTAGAGATCAACGATCTTGATTTAAAAGGGGTCCTAGGTCGGGTATTAAAATGGGTATGGAGACTGGGCTGATAGGTTTTGGGCCAAGGGTAATTGGGTTATGTTTGGGTAGCTTAGGTCCGAAATTAATTGTAGAATTAGGGCCAGATTTTAAATGCCTAATTTTTAATAAATAAATAATTTATAAAATAATAAATAAATAACAAAAATATCATTTGTGAATAAAATGATTTAAAATAATTATGTAACACTATAAGAATATAAAAGGTTTTTTTTTTGCATAATAATCATAAGTACATATGGGCTATTATTGCAAAATGTGCAGTTTAGCCTTAAGAAATGCAAATGCAATTATAAAAATGCACTGAAAAATATTTAAATATTATGTTGGTATAAATGATAAATTTAGATGATTAAATCATCATAAAAATAATATGAAGGATAATTATTGGATACTTATATAATAAAATGCATAAATAAATTGATTTTAAAGAGTTTAAAAATTATGAAAAATACTTGTGCAAGCNTATATATATATATATATATATATATATATATATATATATATATATATATATATATATATATATATATTTGGAAAATATAGGAAAAAATTGGGTATCAGCAATGTTCACTTATTCCGGCAATGAAAACTAAAGCAAACCATGGTGCGAAAGAACAGGAGGAAACAGAAAGAGAAATTTTTTTTAAAAAGAAAAATAAATCTCTCACGCTCTGGAAAAAGGTGTAATACAAGCACTATGCACATCACCAAATTGTGTCTAAATGGCACATATGAGATATAGTTAAAATGTTCAAATGGAACAGACTTAAGATAGAGTGTGTAAGTGAAAAGTGAGGACTACTTTAAGGGGTTGTCGATGTATTTGGCCTATATTGAAAGATCCCTGATGCCGAAGACACTACAAGACAAAATGAAATCAGTTACGAACTTCGTTGCTAATCTGTCGTTAAATCGCTCGTAACGATTATAATTTTTTGATAAGTTGTAGTTATTCCGTCACTAATAGAATTAGCAATCGATTTTTCTGTTGAGCTATAAAATTCGTCCGTTGCTAATTCCTACTTTTAAGCAGCAAGTCCTCTCTGTTCTGGAAAAAGGTCATATCATGCTTAAGGATTAGATAAAACACTACTTCGATGCCAAGATATGACGATTTGGGCTTTTATGCTCCATTTATAATTATTATATTATTATTGAAAAAATGACACTGTACAGCCGCTCTAAAAATAATATTTAAAATCTATATATATATATATATATATATATATATATATATATATATATATACATTTTGTATATCATATACAAAAATTATATAAATTTTATACACTTTTTCAGTTACCGAATATAAATAGTTTTTGGAGCGGGTTAAAAGTGAAATTTGCCCTTTATTATTGTCACAAATTAATTAGGAATTTTTACCTCCTGTAGCAAAGGTTGATACCTTATTTATTTTACCCTTTTAAAAATTTATATTCCATAGCTACCTTTTGATTTTTATAGCCAAATATCTCTCTCATTCTTTTAGATTTTTCTCCACCCTCTCTCTCTCTCAACGCCAATCTTTCTCCATGAATACAACCATGATTCTCCACTGATTCATCTCCATTGTTGAACGAAATTTTCATTGTCAGTGGCCTGGGGCTCTGAATCAATGTCGAAATCAAGCCCTAGAGAGAAAGATGGAGGTTCGAAATCTGGTATTGAAAGGTAAATTGGGGCTGACAATGAAAATTTAGCAGATTGTGCAATGGGCTTCGGTAAAGGGACCACCAGCGGCAAAGCCGGCCAATTCTACGTCGTCACTGACTCTTCCGACAATAGCAGCAACCCTAAGCCGGGAACCCTCCGTCACGCTGTCATTCAAAAGGAGCCATTGTGGATCATTTTTGCAAAAAACATGACCATTAGATTACATCAGGAGCTGATAATGCAAAGCGATAAGACCACTGATGGTCGTGGTGTTAACCTTCATATGCATATGTCGCAAGTATTTTTGAAAGGAATTTTTAGGGTAAATTGGGGCTGACAATGGAGGCTCGAAATCTGATATCGACGAGACGACATTAGGGTTATTCTTGAACAAAGACGACTGAGTTTGGGGCTGAGCAACTTGAAGAGTCTGTTACCTTTTTTTTCATTGTATGTATCTCGTTGTATTCTATGTATTTCATTGTATTCATTGTCTTTTTTTCCATTGTATTTCAATGTATCTCGCTGTATTCCATATATTTCATTGTATTCACTGTCTCGCTATATTCCGTGAATGTATTCATATATTTTTTTTTATTAATATAATTTATGGATTTAGATGTATTTATGTATTCAAATTTATAATTGAGTTTGTTGAGCTATATTAGAAGTCTATTTATGTTAATTAATTCACTTTCCGTTTAAAAACAACTGAATAGATCACGATTTACGCTATTTACGTTACTGTATTAACAAATATATATCATGAATACAGTCGAATACAATAATTGCCTAACTGTACTCCCCTGTTTCACGCCGAATTTTGCTACTGTATTCATGAATACAGTAGCTTAAATACATCGAATACACTCTATCAAAACTGAAAACGTAGCTATAAAAAGTAATATAGTAAATGATAACTACAGCTAGCTAATAACCATTAAACAATAGTGGTTTGTAAAAGTTTCTCAATTTATTACTAGTACTTTTTCATCTCAAATAGAATATAGGAGTAATATAATTCGTCAATCTACTGGCGTTAGAAAATTTATTGTAAAATTTTAATAATGTTTTAACATTTTAAAATATTGTAAGAATGTTAATAAAATTTATTTGAGTGCGCATGCCCCACAAAACAAATAGTACGTCAAAATCTCGGTTTTACTTCTGTCCTCTTCATTTTTCTTCAACTTTTGCTTTACTTTGTCGCTACCTTTTTTTTTTTGGTTTCCATTTTTGTCTCTTTCCTCCAATTTTCTTTGCTCGACTTTAATTGATTAGTTTACTGACTCACTCTGCATTTACTTCAAATCATACCCTTTTAGAAATTTGAGAGACATTCTCATATTCAGACAAATTTTCTCTGACTTTTTGACTAATTAATTAAGCAAAAAGCAAGAAGTTATTGTATATGGAGTGGGAAAATCAGCAGCAGCAGCCACCGCAGACGGCGGAGGATATGAACGGCGCCGCCGTAGGAGGAGGAGGGATGTTTGTAAAAGTAATGACTGATGAGCAAATGGAAGTTCTACGTAAGCAAATTGCAGTGTACGCTGTAATTTGTGAACAGCTTGTTGATTTGCACAAATCCATGGCTTCTCAACATGATCTTGCTGGTCTCTTCTCTTCTCTTTCTCTCTCCAATTATTGTCTATACTTTACCTTTTATATATTGTTTTTTTTTTTTCGAAATCTGATTTGTTATGAGTTCTGAAGAATTTTCACCTAAGATATCACTATGGGTAACGTTCATAATAAGTGAGATTAGTAACTCGAAAAAATAAGTCACGTAACTTATTACAAAAGCCAAAGGTTTTGCAGCTTGTTTGGACGGTTGTTATATATCGTATTGTATTGTACTGTATTATTTTGATATATACAATATATGGATAGGTTGTATTGTTTGTGTTTCATGGTGTTATGCACTAATAATATGAAGAATAAACTTGCAATATTATTAAAACAAATATGAGGTAGAATTATTATATAAAAAGGTAGGGTAAAAGATAAAATATGATTATTATTTAATAATAAGAAAGGGAAGATAAGAGAAAAAAATAAGGTAACGACGTGACCACACCAAATCGGTTGTTACATAAAGTGACACTTTTGGTCGTTACGTAACGACGGACTTAACGATACGATACAATAAAACTTAAGTTAAATAATAGTAACTTTTTTACATTATCGGTTTATATAAGTTAAATTTTCTTCTTTTTCTATCTCTACCTCTAGTAAAGATTTAACCTATATACATTGCGTGTAAAAGTACTTAATTTAGTTTAATCTATTGTATTAGGTATTTTGTATTATTACCATTTTACTAATTTCATTTTTTATGAATATTGCTTTAGTTATCTTTTATCTGACTTGATATTGTAAATAGAGTATTTTTTTTAACTCTTCCAGTAATTGAGTTCAAAAGGTTTACCTAAAACAAATAAGATTATTACCTTTGTAGCTGCATAGTGCCCAGAATATTTTTTTGCATCTCTTGGTTAAAGCGGTCTAAGTTCATAATTCAACTTAAATGCCTAAATATTTTTGCATCTCTTTCCTTTTTGAGTTTTAGACTTTAGTATAGAATCTTACTCTAACACTAGTAAGCGATTATTTTGATTTAATTATATGATTTTTGACCTTTGTTGTTGTTGTTGTAGTTGTTGTATGTTGTGCACTTGTGCCAACATTATTTTCTTTAGTTCTTAATAAGTACTCCCTCCGTCCCAATTTATGTGGTATCGTTCCGATTTCAAGAGTCAAATGAGTTTTTCTTTGACAGTGATTTTTTCATGCGCCTTTTAAATATTTTGATTAATTATTGTGCCTTATAGTACATTTTACGTAGTTTTCAAATATATAAATTTTATTTTAAAAAACTTAAAAATTCAATATTTGAATTCATGGTCAAAATTAAGAAGTTTGACTCTTGAAATCCGAATGATACCACTGGATCAGGACAGAGGGAGTGAATAGGAGTAGTACTGGAAGAGCTTAATACAAATATCCTTATTAGCAAAAAAGTAGGGGAGGAGCTCAATTTTGTTGTTGTCGCTCCATTTAAGCAGGGGCGGATTTATAAGGGGAAATATGGGGCATGTGAATCCATGATCTTTCCGTAAAATTAGATATTTTATGTATATATTTCTAAAATTGGTATAACATTAAGCGTTGGCACCCAGTGAATGATGCACTTGGTTGAAGGTTGAGTTATTTACGAGGAACAAAAATCAATTCTCACTTAATACTTTTTTCCTCCTTTTTTTAGTGCAACCATGTACTAAAAATGCTAGATCCGCCTCGGCATTTACGCTTTGTATTTTCTACTAAACAAATTCATCTCTATGAATGTATAACACGTATTTTCATTCAATTCCTGAACTGAATTAATTTGTCTAAAATTGAACATGCTATTCCTGCTACCTCAGGAACTAGGCTGGGGAATCTGTATTGTGATCCGCTGATAACATCAGCTGGACACAGAATTAGTGGCAGACAACGTTGGACGCCAACGCCTGTGCAACTTCAGATTCTTGAACGTATTTTCGATCAAGGCAATGGAACACCAAGCAAACAAAAGATTAAAGATATAACCTTTGAATTGTCTCAGCATGGACAAATTTCTGAAACAAATGTTTATAATTGGTTTCAAAATAGACGTGCTCGATCGAAAAGGAAACAGCAGGGTGGTGGTGCAATGAACACCGTTGAATCAGAGGTGGAGACAGAGGTCGAATCGCCTAATGAAAAGAAAACAAAGCCAGAGGATTTGCAATCTTCTCATATCCCAACTTCAAGAGCTGAAGAGGGTAGTTCAAATCCAGCTGGAAGTTTTGATCAATTGTCCTTCTATGCAATGTCTAATCCAAGTATGTTCTCTTTTTTTAAAAATAGATTATTTCCTGTAGCATCATTTTGTTTTAGGAGAAGGGTAAAAGTACTATCTATAATATGAAATATCTTAATTCTACCGTTCGTTATGCTTTTCATTTATACCCTTCCAGTTTATTTTCGTTGACTGTAATGGAGTTCTAGCTTGAAACCTAGCCGAAGTATAACAGATAGTAATTTTATTTTATTGTCAAAGGTAAAATAGTAAATATGGACCTCTTTTATCAGAGTATTTTGACACGTGAAAGCTACCAAATTAATCCACGCTAGAGCTCCGTTAAAGTCAACGGCAAATGTGAAATGATTTTTCGATGGCAAGGATATGAATGACCCCAAAGTATAACAAATGATGACATTAAGCTATTTCGCATCGTCGAGGGATTACTTCAGCCATTTCCCCTTCATCCAATAGTGAATATCTTTTTTTTCTTCTATTAGACATCTTGTGACTGAGAAGGCTAGTTTATGTCAGGATCAGTAGAAATTAATGAATCAAAGCTGAGCCACTATTTCTATTTTCTGCTTCTGTATGATGTTTAACTGGGGTAACAATTACCTAAATGTGGTTATACTCTGGCTTTTGGACTTACTATAAATTATAATTCAGTTCAAAACCAAACCATTTGTTTCATCTTAAATATGATTAGGAACCATCTTTTTCAGAATTTTTGGTTCAGGTGTTTGCCATCACTGGATTTGGTTATATCTTCAAGACATGAATCATGTCACATGATTGTTTGTTGTTGTTGTTTTTGCTCTTGTATTCAATTGAATTGAAGCAAGTTCTGTTGTTGAAGGGGACAAAACTTTCAAAGGTTGCTAGAAGAAGAGTTAATGATAAGATATTGCTTACATATTCTTTTCGTTGGCAAAGTGATCTTGAATTATGGTGACTTATAGAAGTAGGATGGAAGTATTCCATGAGAATTACTAATTAGAATTGTTTATATGCAAGTCTTGAAATGTGTTAACTTCTATACTCTAGACAGCAAGAATTTTCTTTCTTTAGTTCGCCAAATCTCACCTAATGGTTGTCAATTGTTGTTGTCTCCTTATTGTGGTCTTAGTCAATACTCACCTCCTGAGCTAACTTTCGAGGTTGATTTAGGCCCAGGTCCAGTTTTTTAATATCGTATCAGAGCAAAATCCAACCCCATTCTTGATTTACCCAATATTGAGCCGCCTTGTTATGTTTTACATGTTTTAGATCTCCAACCCTGGACCATGTGAAGGATGTTAAGAGTTACATGTTGGTTGAGGGAATGATCAACAGTTCGACGGTCTTCACCTCATGAGCTAGCTTTTGTAGTTGAGTTAAGCTCAGATTCGTCTAACAATATATATTCAACAACAAACAAAAAAATGGATCGACCTTGAGTATCCAATTTATGCATTGTTCCATTTCTTTTTTTGATATTTCTGAAGTAGATGTTATGAATATGGATATGCAGGAATGGACCAGGTAATAGAAAAGATGGAAGAGGCAGGTAGCTACCATCCATATCTACATGCAGAAAATTACGACATGATTAGCCAATGACCAATTTAGAAACTGTCATACGTTGTTTAAATACTTTGATTGAGACAAGAAGCAAAACAAAATTCTGATCTTCATTTGGCAATTGATGCTGCTTCTATAGCAGCTTGTCTTTGTTTCTGGATATCTGTATCTATGAACATGCTTATGGGAACCATAGTAAATTGTAAATACAAGTATTTGATATGCGTACTAATACTTCAACTTTGCAAGTTTGAGATTGATGGCTTACTCTTGATCAATTTATACCATATTTCCCCTTGAAACAAGGTTGTTCCTCTTGAGATTTTTAATGCTCTATAGTATTAAGTTGTATGAGAACTTGGTGGATTTTTAAGGACAATGAACTGTTTTAACATTTAATTGACTGACAGAACTAGTCTTGGTTTAGGCAATAGTGGTCAAACATAAGAACCTGGCGGCTAAATGCTTCTTGCCATAAGATATGGTTCATTCATCCTCCCGATTAACAGAGAACAATTTTTATTTTGTTTCTTAGGTTCTAAGACTTGTCGTCTCCTTTACCAATGAGCTTTCGGTCTACAAATCAGATGAGACTGCGATTCTGGTTTCCTTTGTTGACAGGATTTTGTTAGCCTATGGACATGGGCGGAGCTATAGGGGTAGAAGGGGGTTCATCGCACGAAAATTACACTATATACTATGTCAAAATTATTTTTATGTGTATATTGTAGATGTTGAATTCCTTAGATTTCTTCCCGCCTTTACTTCTTTATAAATTTCCTTCGTCAAAAATTCTGGCTCCATTACTGCTTATGAAGTGTCATTCCAGGTACTTTTGTCAGTCGGCGATATCTGGAGGTGTGAGAGGTTGACCAGGGCGGGTTTAAGAAGAAGTCGAGGTAGACCTAAGAAGTACCGGGGAGAGGTGATTAGTCAAGACATCGCGCGACTTCAGCTCACTAAGGACATGATCCTTTATAGGAGGGTGTGGAGGTCGAGGATTAGGGTAGACGGTTAGTAAGTAGTTGTGAGTTTCCTCCTTTCTTACCAGTAGTAGTAGTAGTAGTAGCGCGCTTGTACTTTCCTATTTCTCAAATCTATATTACATCATATTGTTTAGTTTGTTTCAGTTATCATATTCTCCTGTTGTTACTATCTTGGTACTACTTATTCTTTCTGCCCCCCCCCCCCCCCTTTCTCCTCTCTCCTTCCTTTTTCTTCTTCTTCTTCTTAGTCGAGGGTCATTGGAAATGACCTCTCTGCCTTCACTGAGTAAGGGTAAGGTCTGCGTACATGTTGCTCCCAAACGCACACGCAAGTATACGTGGTCGTACAAGTAATAAAATGATAAGTCGAGTGTCGAACCCACAGAGACTTATATCAACTACTCACTAACGCACCAATATTGTTATTCCGTCAAGCTAAATTTGAGTTCAAGAGTTTAATTATGCTAACTACAATTTTAAGTAATAACTAAATTATCAAGTAACGAGTTGATTGTTATGTATTCAGTAGAGACAAGTATTCCAGGGTTGTGATCGATTCACCAATCGTATTATGTTCTAATTAACTCTCCCTTTCATATAATTCACTCATGGTCGCTAATTAATCGATAAGTACTCTCATAGCTTTCTCCCGAAGTACTACTCACCTATTCTCAATAGATTAATGCATATATTCCTATGAAATCAATCTATTAAGAATGCATTAAGATTACGATATTTAATTAAGCACGGTGATTAGGTATATTCCTATCCTAACCACAAATCCGCTCCCCCTAAGGGTTAAGATCATGCTCTCTTCAATTCTTCTCTAATCTAAACACGGCTTTCCCAAGCATAGTATAGATAGTGAATAGAACCTAACTGCTGGCCAGACAATTAAGCAATTAAACACAAAATTGAAGAAACAACCATATATGAATGAATTATAATCAAGGTCAAGTTAATATCAAACAACAATATTCATGGCTAAATCACAACCCCAGAACAATGGGTTTTAGCCACTCATACTAGTGTGCATCACAATTAGGTTCAATTTCATCACAAATAGCAAAGACAAAGAGAAGAAAAGAAGAACTTGATAGTCCAAACTCCTCCTTGCCTCTTGCCTCTCGATTTTTTTGCACTAAACTATGAAAACCTTGATAAATTGACCTTGGGCGAGCTTGACTTTATATAGGTTAAGTGGGTTTCTCTCCAAATTTCCAATTTTACCCCTAAATAGCTCTTTTTTGGACCGGCATCGCGCGAACTCGCGCGTCCTTCGCGCGTCTCTTCGCGCACTATTCTGCCTCAGCCTTTAACGCGCGCGAACTACCGCGCGATTTCGCGTGTTTCTTCGCGCATCTGGGCTTGATTTTTTTTCCATTTTCTTGTCTTGTCCTTGCGAGCACTCAACTCCGAGGGGTCGTTTTTGCTCTTAAATCATTCCAATAGCCTCTGGAAAGCACCATATAAGCTCCTCATCCTGCAATGTATACAAATCACAATTAGAGCCTATTTTTTATCAATTAACCGTATTATGTCATTGGAATATAATTAAGCGGAAGCATAAACAATAGCTAAATCACCTAGATTTCGCCTATTATCAACACCCCACACTTAATTCATTGCTAGTCCTCGAGCAATCAAACTATACCCTCTATAGAATCCTTCACTCAACCATTTCCCTTAACGCATTACACCCAGAACAATGTACATACATTACGCCTAGCAGTGATCAATCCTAGCCTCAAAGCCGACTCTCAAGTGCCATGCAATATTCACACTTCCTCAAAGTACTCTACACAGAAGTCAAGACTTACTTTTCCGTCACGAATCATATGCCCTCACAATCACATCACAAAACTGAATTCAATCCAAACATTTGAGTCATATACTCACATATATCAAGGAAAGCACTCACTCTCGCAAAAGAAGTCACATGCATGCAATTGGTACCATAAGCTCGCCCTTAATGTAAATCTCTACTAATGTAGGCTAGCTCGACCCAAAATCAATTAGGACTTTTTCATGGTTGTAATGTGGGCTAAGGGACGGGTAGGATATATTTAGGAATAGTGACTCAACCTCCTAAGCACTTTAACACATCACATGAGCAATTTTTAGCGCAAATTCTTCAACCCACTTCTCATTCACAAACAAAATCATCACACAAATACTCCCTTCTTCATTAAGCACTCTTAATTCATACCCACTAGCTGGAACAAGACACAATGTATTCATCTCTGTTTTTTTTTTCCAGTTTATTCTTCTTGTCACTTAATTTCCGCTAGTGGTGTATTCGTTTACAACACAAGCGCACCATTCATCCTTTTATTGGTTTCACTCAAAAGCCAGCCCACACTTATTTTCTTCTTACTTCTTTTAGCGCTCCTCTCACCATTAAAGTGCTTTAAGAGGTAAAGCGATCAAAACAATGTCAATTAAGAACAAAAGGGTATAGGCTTGTAATGCGGGTGCCAAACAAAAGTCTAAAGGTTCAAAAGGGTTAGCTAGGGACAAATTTTATTTATGATAAGCAATTAAGCACAAAAAGGTCAAAGAAAGCCTAAAATCATTTTTCAAACCGAGCATCACCTAGGATTTCGCTTCAACTCACATACCGGGCAAGTTCCAGACACAAGTACAATACATGGACTACACAAATACACACTACACATGGCATATGACTCATTCAGATCAGCTCCTCAAGACGCTCCGTTACGAGCATTTAATTTAGTAACAAACATACAAATTAAGGCACTTTTAGTGAGATTCAACAATTAGGACTAAGTGTTACACTCTAGGGTCTATTGTGTTCAGGTGTGTCAACGCTATGGGTTCTCTTTCAATTTCCTAGCTCGTAGCCCATTACCCTAATCTACAAATCAAAAGAAAACAAAAAAATAAAAACTATCTATGCCCGGTTCAAGCTAAACCCTTGGAAAAGAACCGCGGCCTAAAGAAAAACCAAGGGGGAGTTGCTACACTACTTGAGAAAATAAAAAAATCTTTTTGGTGTTTTCTCTAGACTCACTTCCCTCAAGAAAATCGTCTAAGAGATCCGTCATCAGGAAGAGCCTACAATTTTTCAGTTTTTTTTTTCTTTCTTCGACTCAATCCCTTAAGAACCCCGTCGAAAGGGATCCGTCGTCGGGCCGAGCCACCTATCTATTGTAAACTAATGATTCCTACTTTATACCAACACTATCAACGTCAAAAAGCACAAAACAAGATAAAACCTAACAATCAATTAATACACATACATACATACAACGAAGTACCCCCACCCCACACTTAAAGATAAAGACATGTCCCCATGGCTTAAATTTTAAAAGAGCAGTGAGGTAAAGAGACTTCTCTGGAGCTTCACTCTTGGTCGGAAACAGTTTCGGGGTTCACGTTGCACGCACGCCCCAAAGCTCGCAGCCAACCCATGAACTTCTTTTCCGACTTGACTTTTCGGTCAGCTATCGCATCCACACGAGTGCCCAATTCAGTCATGGAGGTGCGTAGACCAGCCAGCTCCTGCTCCAATGCGGTGTACCGGGACACTCTGGCAGTTCTTGAAGAGGACGCTGCTCCTGACGGTGCTGCTGGGGCTGGCTCCATGTCCATTTGTTCATCCGCGTCCTCCGCCGATGCATCAGAACCACTCTCATCCTCTCCACCTGCCGCTGCCGCTGGGGCTGGCCCCGTGGTGTTCTTGCCAGGTCGGATCTTGTGGTCTTTTTTTACCAGCCCGTCCACACGGGTATTTTCGGGCACCTGCACTTGCCTGCAAAGCTTAGTCACCAAAGAGGGGAAAAAGAACCCATACTGGCGTTGGGGGAACCTGATAAACATCTCGTCGTGGATCACTTTTGCCATGTCGAAGGGAACACCCTTGACGAAACACCAAATCAATGCAGCTCGGGGTCCATTCACCTCCGTAGTATTTTTGGAGGGAATGAGGCGACTGTTAATCACATACAACCAGCTCTTCGCCTCAGGAGTTAGGACGGAGGAATGGAACTTATCTCCGTGTTCCAGCCACTNATGGCATCAAATTTATACTGGCCCCTAAATCACACAGGGCTCTACCAACTTCTTGTTTTCCAAGAGACAAAGGAATTGTGAAACTCCCAGGATCCTTCAACTTAGGAGGAAGTTTACTCTAAACTCTGGCACTGCACTCTTCAGTAAGTGCAACTGTTTCGAACTCTGCATGTCTTCGTTTGTTTGCCACAATATCTCTGAGATACCTTGCATACTTAGGCACTTCCTGCAAAATTTCCACCAAAGGCAAATTCACACTCACTTGGCTCAAAATATCTAGGAATTTCTTGTACTTAGGATCATCTTTTTGCTTCTGTAGTCTTTGTGGAAACGGAGGTGGTGGCCTAGTCTCAATTACTGGCTCGGGTCCTTTATCATCTTTCTTCTTCCCCTCAACTGGCTTGGGAACTAATTCTCCTTCAGGATGAGCTGTATCCTTCTTTTTCATTGGAACTTGTTCTAGTGCTCTTCCATTTCTCAAGGTAACCGCATTGACTTGAGCTTTAGGATTGGGCTCAGTATCACTTGGAAGAGCCCCTGGTGGTCTAGTGTTGTGAGCACTGGCAAGCTGTCCCATTTGACGCTCTAAATTTCTCACTGTTGTGGCGAGGGCTTGCTGTTCAGCCATCATTTTTTTCAACATGTCTTCAAGGTGACTTGTAGGACTCGCTTGTTGTTCAACCTGAGGTGGTCTATATTGCTGTTGAGGTGCTTGAGGCCTGTATTGATTCTGAGTGCCCTGGTTTCCACCCCAAGAGAAGTTTGGGTGGTTCCTCCAGTTGGGATTGTAGGTGTCCCCGTACTGATTTGTTTGGCCTCGATTTGCATTACCCATAAAATATACAGACTCTGGATTTTCTGGGCATAGATTGCTCATGTGACCCTCTCCACATACTTCACAAAATATTTGAACCTGTTGTACTGGTTGTACTTGTTGCTTGTTGATACTCAAGTTCATCTGGTTGACGTGATTGGTCAGTGTAGCAATCTGCGCTGATAATGCTGAGACGACATCTAACTCAAGAACCCTGCAGACTTTTGCACTGTGTGCCTGCCCATCTCTCCTTGCCAATCCGGATTGCTCTTGGAGAATTTGTTCAATAATGCATATATCTCATCAAAGCTTTTCTCCAA